TGTCATTGATTTAGTCCATGGTAATACTTTTAAAACACTCAGCCCAGCTTGGTGGTCCACGTGGAGAGAGGGGGAAGGGAAGGAGGGAAAGGGAACAAGGGAGAGGGGAGTGACCAGGGGGTGAGCAGCAAGGAGCTCAGAGTCAGAGAGAGAAGTCCCGACTTCCCTTTTTATATTGTTTTTGTTGTGTGTCTGTTGAATTGATTCTGACCCATAGCAGTCCTCTAGGACATGTATTACTAAGTTAAAAACTCCTCTATTTCTTAAATTCTAGGAATCAGTGATGGACCTTCAGTCTCAGCATTAACAAATGGTTTTGACACTCCAGAAGAAAGGTATCAGAAGCTCAAAAAGGCAAGTAGATATGTTAGAAAACCTTTTCTTGTCCATGGCTATTGTCCCATTGTTGAAATATAGAGAAATAATCATTAAATTTGCACATAAAGTTTTTAAAAGGCCTTAAAATAATGCTTAAAACAACAGCAAAAATAGTTGTCTGCTGGAAACTATATTGAAATGGTATAGCATTTTACTGTTACAAAAATCAATAATGCCTCGATACCTAATTTGTATATGCTAACCTAATTGCAAGTATTCTGCCAAAGTCAATATGAGTGATTCAGAAAGTCCATCTAGTTGAGAAGACTGTTGCTCATGTTGGACAAACAGCACCACTTTGATAAATCTCTTATTTTTTTTCTTTTCCAGCATTCCATGGACTTTTTGCTGTTTCAGTTTGGTCTTTGCACTTTTAAGTATGACCACACAGACTCCAAGTATGTTGTTTTAACAAGCACCTGCAATGCTTTTGTCACCGTATAATGTAACTCCCTAAGTCTCTTTTTATCTTGTTTTTCCTAGGTATATAACAAAGTCATTTAACTTTTACGTTTTCCCGAAACCCTTCAATCGGTTCTCACCAGATGTCAAATTTGTCTGTCAGGTTAGTAGCATAGTTAGTTTTTATTTTATGTCTTGCAGATGGAAATGTGAACTCATTTAATATAGGAAATTATAGCAAACTATTTCAAATTTGTTTCTACCACTGACTTTGTGACTCCAGGTTTGGGCACAATATTTAGCTTCTCTGACTTTCCGTTGTTAGGTGCCAGTGAGACAGTTATGCACACCTTATGTACACCAGGTGAGACGCTGCACAAACCTGTGCCATTGTTTCTGTGCCTGAGCCCATTGTATGGATCCATCTTGTTGAGCGCCTTCTTTTTTTTACTGCCCCTCTGCTTTACCAAGCGTGATGTCTTTCTCCAGGGACTGTCAGTTGTAACCAGGTAGCTTATGTGCTGCTGGATGCTGGAAGCTCTGTCACTGGTATTTCAAATGCCAGCAGGGTCACCCAAAGTGAACAGGTTTCCCTGGAACTTGCAGGTTAATACCAGGCAACGAAGAAGGACTGCCCACTTTGGAGGAAGTTGCCACTAGAAACCTTATGTGTAGCTTCACTTCTAGAGTTGCCAATTAATGACACCCAGTGACCCTCTCCAGATTGAATTGGGGAATACAATGCAAAGGTCAGACAGATGGAAATTAGAGCATCAGCTTTATGACTGACAAAGTGGAGTGAGAACTTGTGTGATAATGGGCTTCCATTTGGGATTCTTACTATCTTACTGCTCAGTTGAACTCCAAATCTAGGCCTGTGGGCTTCTCCCTAACCCACCGTCTTTCTACTCATCTACCAGAGAAGAGGTCTCTGCCCCGCCTGGGAAGAGCAGAGTATATGTGTATCGTGTCCAAAAATTGAGAGAGCTTAAATAACGGAACCCATTGTTACTGAGTCACTTCCATCTGTTGGCAACTCTACATGTTACAGAGTAGAACTGCATCATAGGGTTTTCTTGACTATAATCTTTATGCAAGCAGATCACCTTTATGAAAACAGGCCTTTCTTTCTGTGAGAGGACCCCGAAGGGGCTGAATCAGTGTAGAGAGGAGGAGTGGCAGGTTGCCTCCTGATGGTGAAACCCACCTACCCACTCACTGCCTTGGAGTCTCTTCTCTTGTAACACAGGGGGATTGTAGAGGACAGGGCAGGACTCCTTCATAGTGTTCTTGAGGCTGTAACCTTTATGGGCACAGACTACCTCATCTTTCTCTCACAGTGTTGCTTTTAGCTAGATATCTGATACCAGCAGTCATATCCTTTGTTCTACATCCTCTTCCGAAACCAGCCTGAACCTCCGAATTAACTGCTGCAACCATTGTTGGATGATCTTCGGCAAAATTTTACTTGCACGTGATATCAGTGATATTTTTTCTCTAATTTAAGCATTCTCATGGCTCATCTTTCTTTGGAATTGGAACAAACATGGATCTCTTTGTAGTCCGTGGGCCAAGTAGCTGTCTTCCAAATTTTCTGGCATAGATGAGTAATTGCTTCTAGTGCTTATCTGCTTGTTGAAACACTCCAAGTAGTAGTCCATCCATTTCTGGAGCCTTGTTTCTGGCTAATGCTTTCAGTACATCTTGAACCTCTTCCTTTATTATCATTGGTTCTTGCTCATATGCTACCTCCTGAAATGGTGGAATGTCGACTAGCTCTTTTTGGAACAGTGACTCTGTATTCTTTCCGTCTTCTTTTGATGCTGCATGCATCATTTAATATTTTCTCCATGTAATCTTTAATTATCGCAACTTGAGACTTGAATTTTTTCCTGAGTTCTTCCAGTTAAAGCTGTGCTAAGCAGGTTCTTTGATTTTGGTTTTTTTTAGTTTAGGTCTTTGCACATTTCACTATAATATTTTACATTGTCTTCTGGAGCTGCCCCTTCCAATTTTCTTATGAGCTCTTTAACTTCCTTGTGTCTTTCATTTTCTTTAGCTACTGTGTGTTTGAGAGCAAACTGCGGAATCTCTTCTGACAGCTACTTTGATCTTTTCTTTCTTTTCGGTCTTTTTGATAACCTTTTGCTTTCTTCATGGATAATATTCTTGATGTCTTCCCAGAGCTCATTAGTTCTGTCATTGGTGTTCCATGTGTCAGGTCTGTTTTTGAAATTCACTTGGTTTAGAATCAAGGTTGTATTTTGGCTCCGGTGGACTTGTTTTCATTTCCTTCAGCTTTATCCTGAACTTATATATGAGCAATTGATTGCCTGTTCCATAGTCAGCCCCCGTCCTAGTTTTATCTCCTGATCGTGAGATTCCTCAGTGTTACTTCAGACCCAACCCAACCTCATCCCACTGCTGTTGAGTCAGTTCTGACTCGTGGTGACCCTAGGGGACAGGGTTGAACTGCCCCCGTGTGTTTGTGAGACTGTCACTCTTGTGGACCCGCAGCCCAACGAGTAACTCCTACACCTCGAAGGCTCCTCTAAAAGACTAACTCTTTCTTTTTTTTTTTTAAGACTAACTCTTTACGACAGGAGAAAGGCTCATATTGCTTCCGTGGAGCTAGCTGGCGGTTTCGAACTGCTGTTCTTTCAGTTAGCAGTCCAACCCTAAACCATTCTGCCACCACAACGGCTTTCTCTTCCCAGATTTCAGTTTGATTACTGTGTATTCCATCTGGAGAAGTCCATGTTTGTGTTGTTGAAAAAGGGTATTTGCTATGAACAAATAGTTGATTTTTTAGAATTCTGTCATTTAATTTCCAGTTTTCTGTCAGTTTGTCGTTCTGTGGTGGTGTGTGTGTTGTGATGCTGGAAGCTGTGTTATTGGAATTTCAAATGCCAGCAGGATCACCCAACATGAACAGGGTTCAGGGGTGCTTCCAGATTAAGAACAGACAAGGTGGAAGGGCTCGGTGCTCTACTTCGAAGGAAGGCGCTGCTGAAAATCTTATGCGTAGCTTGGACACACTGTCAGATACCGAAGGCTAATGAGTGGAGGCAGAGCTTTGTTGGAGGTAGTACCTGAGGAGGGGCTCCTAGAGTCGGAAGGCGCTTGAAATGTGACTGAAGAGCAGCTGATTTCTTGGAGTGGATTTGACTGTGGTGACATAAATGGAGTAAACCCTGTGGGAGTGGAGTTTTCGGGATCTTCATTTGCCTATGGGGCATAACTTAAGGTAAGGAAAAACAGCTGGAAAAATTTTCTAATGATCAGCACGTGGAATGTGTGAAGTATTACATCTAGGCAATTGGAAGTCCTCAAAAATGAAAGGGAATGCATCAAAATCGACATTCTAGACATTAGTGAGCTGAGATGGACTGGTCTTGACCATTTTGAATCAGAAAACCATATGGTTTACTATGTTGGGAATAACGCAATCAAGAGGAATGGTGTATTCATTGTCAAAAAGGACATTGCATAATCATGAAGTACAGTGCTGTCTGTGATAAGATTATATCTATACACCTTCAAGGAAATCCAATTAATACAATGATGCAAATTTATGCACCAACTACAAAGCTAGTGTTGAAGAAATTGAAGAATTCTACCAATGACTTCAGTCAGAAATCGATCAAAATTGCAATCAAGATGCATTGATAATTGTCAATTTAAATGCAAAAGTTTTAAAAAAGGAAGGGACATTAGTTGAAAAATATGGACATGTATTATAAAAAAAGAAAAAGAAAAATGTGGACATGCTGGTAGAAACCAAGCTGGAGATCACATGATAGGATTTTGCAAAACCAACGACTTGTGCATCGCCGTGCATAGTATTCCTTTTTATGTGTGCACCACATTAATCTATTCTTCCACCGATGGGCATTTAGATTGTTTTCATCCTCCTGCTATTTTGGACAATGGTGTGATAAACATGGTTGTGCCCATTTCTGTTCCTATTTTGCTCCTACTTTCCTTAGGGTATATGCCAAGTAGAGAAATTTCTCTGCCATATGGTATTTCTATTCCCTTTGTTTGAGGGAGTGTGCTACCACTTTCCCTAGTGGTTATATGGTTGTTTTTGTTTTTAATATTTTTGGTTATATGGCTTTATATTCCCACCAGCAGTGTATGAGGGTTCCTATCTCTATATTCTCTCCAGAATTTGTTATTTTATATTTTTAACTTCTCTATCAGTAGTAGCCAGTTTTAATAATTTGGAAATTGTTGATATTTACTTTATCCTATACTCAGTCACCAGTTATTTATCCGCCACCTTGTATGCAATAAGAATCCCAGGTGGTGTGAGGGGTTAAGTGTTGGGCTTCTAACCATAAGGGCAGTGGTTCAAATCCACTAGCTGATCCATGGAAGAAAAATGAGACTGTCTGCTCTCAGAAATATTTAAAATCTACTTTGTTTTTGTAGTGTTTCTGAGTCAGAACTTCCTTGATGGTTAATGGGTTTGGTTTTTGTTTTGTTTCGGTGTAAGCTGCTGGAGCTACGCTCTCACTGAAAGGAAAAGGAGGACTATTGGCTCAGTGGATAAAAAACTCAGCTGCTAACCGAAAGGTCAATGGTTTGAACCCACTAGCCACTCAGTGACAGAAAGATGTGACAATCTGCTTCTGTAAAGATTACAGCCTTGTGAGTTTATATGGGTGTTTTTGTTTTTTGGTCTTATTGATAGAAAAGCAGGTTTGAAAATGTATACAGATATGATTTTCTAATGCATGTGAAAGTTGGACATTGAATACGGAGTACCAAACAATTGATGCATTGGAATTATGGTGCTAGCAAGGAAGATTGAAAGTGCTATGGACTGCCAAAGAGCCATGAAATCTGTCTTGGAAGAAGTATAGCCAGAATGCTCCCTTACAGACAAAGATGGTAAGATTTCATCTCACGTACTTAGGGCATGGTATCAAGAGAAACTTGGAAAAGGATGTCCTGTTTGATGAGGTAGGGGAGTATCTAAAAACAGGAAGACCCTCGATAAGATGGATTGACACAGTGGCTGCACCAGCGAGTTCAAACAAAGGAACAGTTGTGAGAATGGCACAGGACTGGCTAGGGTTGCTATGAGAGGGAACTGACTTGGCAGCACCCAACAATAACAACAACAACATGATTTTCTAGTACTACTAGGAGGAA